TTAGCCTAAATGAATCCACCCCTCCCAGTCATATTAATACTCATATTCCTCGAGGCACAGGCCGAGGAGGTGGAGTTGCAGCTATCTTCCACTCTAGCCTACTAATCAGCTCTAAACCTAAACTAAACTATAACTCATTTGAAAGTCTTGTTCTTAGTCTTTCGCACCCAAGTTGGAAATCACTGCAACCAATTCTTTTGTTATAGTGTACCGAGCACCTGGCCCGTACTCTGAATTCTTATCTGAATTTGCAGAGTTCTTGTCAACTTTAGTCCTTAAAACGGACAAAGTTATTATTGTAGGGGATTTTAATATTCATGTGGACGTTGAGAATGACAGCTTTAGTACTGCGTTTATCTCTCTGTTAGATTCCATTGGCTTCTCTCAGAGTGTTCATGAACCGACTCACTGTTTTAACCACACCCTTGACCTTGTTTTGGTGTATGGTATTGAAATTGAACATTTAGTGGTGTTCCCACAGAATCCCTCTTTGTCCGACCACTGTTTGATAACTTTTGAGTTTGTATTGCTGAACTACTCGCCATTGGGCAAAAATTTCTATACAAGATGTCTGTCTGATAGTGCTGTAGCTAAATTTAAGGATGCGATTCCATCAGCTCTAAATACATTATCTAGTCACAAAGTAACGGAGGACTCCTATGCTAATTTCAGTCCCTCCCAAATCGATCATCTTGTTGATAGTGCTGCAGGCTCGCTGCGAATGACACTCGACTCTGTAGCCCCTCTAAAAAAGAAAATACTAAAACAAAGACGGTTAGCTCCATGGTATAATACTGAAACTCGCAAATTAAAGCAAATATCACGGAAACTTGAGAGGAATTGGCGTTCTACCAAACTGGAAAATTCTCGTTTAATTTGGCAAGATAGTCTTAAAACTTATAGGAAGGCCCTCCGTAATGCCAGAGCAGCGTACTACTCGTCATTAATAGAGGAAAATAGGAACAACCCCAGGTTTCTTTTCAGCACTGTAGCCAGGCTGACAGAGAGTCACAGCTCTATTGAGCCAAGTATTCCCATAGCTCTCAGTAGTTACGACTTCATGAGCTTCTTTAATGATAAAATTCTAGCTATTAGAGACAAATTCACCAAGACCTGCCCTCAACTGGCACCGACTTATCTCTAAACTCAGGAACCTTAGAAACAGCTGTAGAACCAGATACATGTTTAGACTGTTTTGCTTCCCTCAATCTTTACCAACTAACTTCAATAATTTCTTCATCTAAACCATCAACCTGCCTCTTAGACCCCATCCCGACTAGGCTGCTTAAAGATGTTTTACCCTTAGTCAGCACCTCTATACTAGATATGATCAATCTATCTCTATCAACAGGCTATGTACCACAGTACTTTAAAGTAGCTGTAATTAAACCTCTTCTGAAAAAGCCCAAACTTGATCCGGATGTTTTAGCCAACTATAGACCTATATCTAACCTTCCATTTCTCTCTAAGGTTCTGGAGAAAGCAGTTGCTAAACAGCTGTGTGACTTTCTACAGAGCAATAGTTTATTTGAGGTTTTCAGTCAGGATTTAGAGCTCATCATAGCACAGAGACAGCACTGGTGAAAATTACTAACGACCTCCTTATTGCATCAGACAAAGGACTTGTGCTGCATTTGATACCATTGACCATCAGATCCTATTGCAGAGACTGGAACATTTCATTGGCATTAAAGGAACCGCTCTAAGCTGGTTTAAGTCCTATTTATCAGATCGATTTCAGTTTGTACATGTTAACGATGAGTCCTCCATGCACGCCAAAGTTAATCATGGAGTTCCTCAAGGATCTGTCCTCGGACCAATCCTCTTCACTTTATATATGCTTCCTTTAGGCAATATTATCAGGAAATATTCCATAAGCTTTCATTGTTATGCAGATGATACTCAGTTATATCTATCGATCAAACCAGATGAAACTCATCAGTTAGCTAAACTTCAAATGTGCCTTCAGGATGTTAAAACCTGGATGACATGTAATTTTCTCATGTTAAACTCAGATAAAACTGAAGTTATTGTTCTGGGGCCTAAGCACCTCCGTGACGCATTATCTAAAGATATAGTTTCCCTGGATGGCATCGCCCTGGCCTCCAGCACCACTGTGAGGAATCTTGGAGTTATCTTTGATCAGGACATGTCGTTTAAGTCTCACATTAAGCAAATTTCAAGGACCGCCTTTTTCCACCTACGTAATATTGCGAAAATCAGGAACATCCTGTCTAAAAATGATGCAGAAAAACTAGTCCATGCATTTGTTACTTCTAGGTTGGATTACTGCAATTCCTTATTATCAGGCTGCTCGAAAAAGTCCGTTAAGACTCTTCAGCTGATCCAGAATGCTGCAGCACGTGTTCTGACAGGAACCAGGAAAAGAGATCATATTTCTCCTGTTTTAGCTTCTTTGCATTGGCTTCCAGTAAAATCCAGAATAGAATTTAAAATCATTCTTCTTACCTACAAAGCTCTTAATGGTCAGGCACCATCTTATCTTAAAGAGCTCATAGTACCTTACTACCCCACCAGAGCACTGCGCTCCCAGAATGCAGGGTTACTTGTGGTTCCTAGAGTCTCCAAAAGTAGACTAGGAGCCAGAGCGTTCAGCTATCAAGCTCCTGTCCTGTGGAACCAGGTTCCAGTTTGGGTTCAGGAGGCAGACACCATCTCCACATTTAAGAGTAGGCTTAAGACTTTCCTCTTTGATAAAGCTTATAGTTAGGGCTGGCTCAGGTGAGTCCTGAACCATCCCTTAGTTATGCTGCTATAGGCCTAGACTGCCGGGGGATTTCCCATGATGCACTGAGCTCCTCTCTCCTCTACTTTCTCTCCCTCTGTATGCAACCTCATCCCATTATTGCATGTTACTAACACAACTTCTCCCCTTTCTGGTAGTCTTGTGCTTTCTCGTCCCTCTCCTCTCTCCTCCTATCACTTCCTGCAGGTGTTTCTGGCTCTGGAGCTGTGGAGTCTGGATCTGTGGTTGCGGGTCACCTGCCGTGTTCCTGCTCGACACCCTCTGCTACAACGACTATTGTTACTAGTCCTATTGTTATTATTGTTATTATAATCATTACCATTACAACTGTTATCATTAACACTACTATAAATATCTGTACCATTTTTCATTTAGTCTATAGCAACATCACCTTCACCCCAACCGGTCGAGGCAGATGGCCTCCCACCCTGAGTCATGGTTCTGCTCGAGGTTTCTGCCTCTTAAAGGAAGTTTTTCCTTGCCTCTGTCTCCTAGTGCTGCTCTTGGTGGGAACTGTTGGGCTTCTGTAAATATCATCACAGAGTTCGGTCTAGACCTGCTCTTTTATGAAAAGCGCTGTGAGATAACTGTTGTTGTGATTTGGCGCTATATAAATAAAATTGAATTGAATTGAAAACTATCAACTCTTTTCTAACTCCGGCCGTTGCTGCTACCTCTGCTCCTACTGAAAACTGTGAGACTTTTAGGAACATTATTCCATCACACCTATTTCAGGAAGTCTTCAACACTATTTGCCCTCTTATTCTGGCGATAATTAACAGTTCCTCAACCAATGACCTTGTCCCCTCCAGTTTTAAACATGCAACCCCTTTTAAAGCAGCCTTGACTCCAGTGATCACAGCAGCTATAGGCCCATCTCCATGCAACCATTTATCTCCTGTTGTGGTGGCAGCCCGGCTGACGGTCCACACCTGCACCTCATCGGCAGCCTCCTCCGCCCGCCACACCTGCCAGCCATCATTCCACCCCTGTCAGTATTTCAACCCCGGTTCTCCACACAATCTCCGCTTGATCGTCGTTGCTCCTGACCTGGTGCTACTGCTCTACTCAAGCCCCAGAGAATTCTGTAGAATCTCTATTTCCCTGTTCTCAGTTTGCCAGTCTTACCCTGTCTGTTCCCCAGGTTCACCTCCGTCCTCCGTCGCGTCAGCTGGGCTCGCCTACCTGACCTCTCCCCTCTGGTGTCCTCCTGGCTCCCCCTCGCCCCTCGCTCCTTGCCAGTCAGCCTGCCACCACACCCCTTCTGCCTTTCCTCAGGTCAGTTCTCCCGGGCCTCCTCTCCTCCTCGGTCCTCTGCTCGCCTCAGCCTCCTCTGCCCCACCTGCTCCTTGGTTCTCCGTGCCCGCGTTCCCCGGCGTCCACCTCTCCTCACCTCCTCGCCCTCAGCCCCTTGTCCCTTAATAAATCCTGAGCGTTGCGTTTGGGTCCGTTCTGTCCTGACTCACAACAATTTCCAAGATTTTAGAAAAAGTTGTCTTTGGTTTACATCCTACCTGAGAGAAAGCATGTTTACTGTCAGAATGGGAAATTGTTCATCATCTCCTGCTGCTCGATTTTAGGCCCCCTCTTATTTTCTCTTTACATGCTTCCTCTTGGTACTATTTTTGAGAAGTACAATATTTTGTATTATTGTTACGCGGATGATACACAGTTCTACATACCAGTTACACCTGACAGCACTCACTCTCTCTCTTAAACTAAAATTTCAGAGGTGAGCGGACGAGACGTGTGAAGGCCTCAGTGGGGTAGCTGCCATTATAGACGATGTCTTGGAGCACAGGAGCAGCGCTCAGGTAGATCCTCCTGTTTCCTGAACCACACAGAGCGGACCAAGATGGTGATCCGCAACACGGCCGCCTCCGGAAGGTTCTCCAGCTGAAGAATCTCCCAGGAGGCCGGCGAGATCTGGGGAGTCCAACCCTCCTCCCTGAAGATCCCACAGTCACCTCCCGTACCTGAGGAGCAGGACTGCAGCCAAGTACCGGGTCAGAACCAAAACATTTAGCTGTGCTGGGGTTTCTTTCTCGCTGTCATGTCAGTCCCACTCTCAGCTCTCCTGCTGCTAAAGCTAACGTCACAACAGGACAGCTGATGTCTGAGGACGTTACAGACACCAACATCACGGCTGGCGTCATGTAGTTTTTATAAACTCATCTTAGACACAGTCTTTGTGCTTCTGCTGCCCAACAGTAAGTAGACCGAACAAAACAACTTAAAACAAGAAATCTTTAATTCATAATTCAAGTCATAACAGGCCTTCAAACTGAGAAGTCATTTCAAAACAAGTCAGAAGTAAAAGAAAATGACACAGATGGTCAAGAATGGAGCTCAGTGCAGGATCAAACCAGAGGCGTCTTCACGTCTCTGATCGGCGTCTTCCTCGTCACGCCACAGTGATAAAAGTCACCAGTCTCCATGGTAACCCCGTGTTGGTGTGACGCAGAAAGACAAAGGAATGATGTGTTCATGCGAGAATGTTCGGTCCGACCGGGAAACCGTCTTCAGCCTTAATCCTCCATCGGTTGGTGAGCTGTGCCGAGGAAATCACTGCAACACAGAGCAGGTGGAACGTCAGAACCAGAACCAGCTGTTCTAAACACTGAAGTACAGCAGGTACCTGAGGATGTTTGGCAGCTCCGGGCTCCTGTAGATGAACTTGTGCTTGTAGGCCAGAGAGGAGGAGAAAGGGACGAACTGGACCTTGTGACCGCTGAGGCTCTTAGACTGGGAGGCCATGTTGTAGAGCTGCAGGAGGAGGGTGGGGTTAAAGTCTAATTTCTGTATTTAATTACTATAAAAAGTATTGCGGTCTCGTAAAAGTCTAATTTGTTTAATAACTCGAGAATACTGAGGTCACAGTATTTCATTACTGTATAAAGTACTGCGTTCACAGTATTTAACTGAACCGGTCTCTTACCTTCTTGCCCAGGTGGAAAGGAACCACGCTGTCGTCCTCGGCGTGGAGGATCAGCACAGGACAGGAGATGTGATTCACGCTGCAGACAGGTACACATTACTGCGTTACTGTCAAAGGTCAAGGAGCGTTCTGAGGTTCAACAGCTCTCATCACTAAAGGTCAAAGGTCAGTGAGTGTTCTGAGGTTCCGCAGTTCTACATCACTAAAGGTCAGTGAGCGTTCCACTAAAAGATCTTTAAGGTTCTGAGGTTCCGCAGCTCTCATCACTAAAGGTCAAAGGTCAGTGAGCGTTCCACTAAAGGATCTTTAAGATTCTGAGGTTCCGCAGTTCTACATCACTAAAGGTCAAAGGTCAAGGAGCGTTCCACTAAAGGTCAAAGGTCAGTGAGCGTTCTGAGGTTCCGCAGCTCTCATCACTAAAGGTCAAAGGTCAGTGAGCGTTCCACTAAAGGATCTTTAAGGTTCTGAGGTTCCGCAGTTCTACATCACTAAAGGTCAAAGGTTAGTGAGTGTTCTGAGGTTCCGCAGTTCTACATCGCTAAAGGTCAAAGGTCAAGGAGCGTTCTGAGGTCCCACAGTTCTACATCACTAAAGGTCAAAGGTCAGTGAGCGTTCTGAGGTTCCGCAGTTCTACATCACTAAAGGTCAAAGGTCAGGTCAGAGGTTACGTACTTCTCATCGCTGGCGAAGCGGATGTTGTTGGCTGTTATGGCGTCCAGGAAGAACCAATCGAAGCCAGGCAGGTACCTGTACACCTGAAACGCACACAGACACACTGAGTACAACATACACACACACACCTGCGGCGCTGTGACCTTTCAGCTGGGCGTTACCATGGCGAAGGGGTGGCTCCGCGCCTCCTCCCTGATGTTGGTGAACGGAGACTCTAAGATCAGAGCGTCGGGAGGACTTCCTGGAAGTGACATCACACAGGTGTTAGTGATCACCTGCGGGCTCTGAACCGATTACTGATTACTGAGTGATCATCGATCAGCTGATTCTGAACCCAGGTGTGTGTGTCTAACCTCTGTCACACAGCCGTCTGACCAGGTTGGTGGCGACTCTGGAAACACAAAGATTTAAGTACAACTGGACTGAGTGTGTGTGTATCTGTGTGTACTTGTGTGTGTGTGTGTGTTACCCCGTCCCCAGAGAGTGTCCCCAGATGTAAAGCGGCGTTTTGGCGTCCAGCCGCCGTTTCAGCCAATCGTAGATGAAGAGAGCGTCTGATGTCATCCCCACCTCTGATGGAGAGCCCTCTGAGTCGCCCCAGCCTGAACACACACACTCACTCAGGTGAGTCGGTCAGCTGACAGCAGCTCTGCAGGTGAACGTGTGAATGTTTCTCACCTCTGTAATCAAACGTGACCACATGGTGTCCCAACGAGCTGAGGACCTGAAGGAAGACAGGCAGAGGACAGGTGAGACAGAGAGACAGACAGGGGAGACAGAGAGACAGGTGAGACAGAGAGACAGAACAGGTGAGACAGAGGACAGACAGGGGAGACAGGACAGGTGAGACAGAGACAGGTGAGACAGAGACAGACGAGACAGAGGACAGACGAGACAGAGGACAGGTGGGACAGAGACAGATAGATGAGACAGATAACAGGTGGAAAAGGCAGGTGAGACAGAGGACAGGTGAGACAGAGGACAGGTGGGACAGAGAGACAGACAGGTGAGACAGAGACAGACAGGTGAGACAGAGACAGAGAGACAGAGAGACAGGTGGGACAGAGGACAGGTGAGACAGAGAGACAGGTGGGACAGAGAGACAGGTGGGACAGAGAGACAGACAGGGGAGACAGAGGACCAGTGAGACAGATAGGTGAGGCAGAGAAACAGATAGGTGAGACAGAGAGACAGACAGGTGAGACAGGAGAGGTGAGACAGAGAGACAGATAGGTGAGACAGAGAGACAGACAGGGGAGACAGAGGACTGGTGAGACAGATAGGTGAGGCAGAGAAACAGATAGGTGAGACAGAGAGACAGACAGGTGAGACAGAGGACAGGTGAGACAGATAGGTGAGACAGAGGACAGGTGAGACAGAGAGACAGATAGGTGAGACAGAGAGACAGAGGACAGGTGGGACAGAGACAGGTGAGACAGAGAGACAAACGAGACAGACGAGACAGAGGACAGGTGAGACAGAGGACAGGTGGGACAGATGACAGGTTGGACAGACAGGTGGGACAGAGGACAGGTGAGACAGAGAGACAGAGAGACAGTTGAGACAGATGACAGGTCGGACAGACAGGTGGGACAGAGAGAAATGTGAGACAGACAGACAGGTGGGACAGAGACAGACAGACAGGTGGGACATGAATGAAAAGTCTCCCATTTCATATTTACACATTCAGCCTGTCAGCAGCTCGTCATGAAAAACATGCAGCCCAGTCACGCTCACATCACGTCCAGCTGGTAACTAGCAGCTCCATCAGCGCGACTTCAGTACGACAGATCAGTTAAAGAGAGATCAGTGCAGGAACGCAGCTCACGGTGTCTCACCCGAACCTGACAGCTGTCCTCATGTCCTGGCTGACGGGATTTCAGTGTTTCTAAAGACCAAATCTGAGCTCTGATACGGCCTGAATGAGGAGCTGAAACTGTTACTGCAGGACAAAAAGGACGGCATATTTGGACTGTTAAATACTTGTGTTTATTTATATTATTTATATTTTATTGTTATTTTACAGTTTATTGTTTATATTTTGTTGTTTGTTTGTGTTTTATTATTATTATTTACAGTTTATTGTGTATATTTTGTTGTTTGTTTGTGTTTTATTATTATTTACAGTTTATTGTTTATATTTTGTTGTTTGTGTGTGACACTGTCAGCAGTGAAGCGTATTAGCGTCTGCTGCCCCCTGCTGGTCTCTGCGCTGAGCTGCACGTTCACCAAAGAGTTCACCAGGATTCTTCTCTGGGACCAGTTGTCAGGTAAAACCTGAATCTCTGACACACTGACAGCTGGAACAATAACTGCTCATTCTGCTTTCTAACTTAAATGAAATATTTCTCTCATTTATATATTTTTAAGTCGTTATCTTACACAGAGTTATTTAATAAAACCCTCCAGAGACCAGGAGATCAACGGTAAGGAAACACGTAGGAAGATGTGTTTTTCTCTGAGTACTTTTACTGTTGGTCCTAACGTACAGGAGCAGAAAACACAAGTACTCAGGTAAAGTACAAGTACATGTACGTGTTAGTGTGTGCTGACCTTGTACAGCTGGACTCTGTGGTCTCCTCCTCTGCAGAGAAACAGGACGTCAAAGGTCAGACACATCGACAGGACGCCGCACACAGAGGTCAAAGGTCACAGGATGACTGACAGGTGTGTGTGTGTGAGGTCACCTAGTCCCTGCGTTTCCATGGAGATAGAGGATGACCTTGTGGGCGGAGCTAAGCGTGGCGTCGTACCAGTCTCCTTGTTTCCCCTGAGCTTCTCTCCACATCTGAGCAGGAACCGTGTGCCTGGAACACACACACATTACCCATGATGCACCTGGCTCACTGTGCGTCAGGAGCAGGTTACATACCCCAGATACTGCTAACGAGTAAATATATACATTATGAGTACATGTACACACTTTAGTACTCCCTCTACTGTTACATACCTCAGATACTGCTAACGAGTAAATATATACATTATGAGTACATGTACACACTTTAGTACTCCCTCTACTGTTACATACCCCAGATACTGCTAACGAGTAAATATATACATTATGAGTACATGTACACACTTTAGTACTCCCTCTACTGTTACATACCCCAGATACTGCTAACGAGTAAATATATACATTATGAGTACATGTACACACTTTAGTACTCCCTCTACTGTTACATACCTCAGATACTGCTAACGAGTAAATATATACATTATGAGTACATGTACACACTTTAGTACTCCCTCTACTGTTACATACCTCAGATACTGCTAACGAGTAAATATATACATTATGAGTACATGTACACACTTTAGTACTCCCTCTACTGTTACATACCTCAGATACTGCTAACGAGTAAATATATACATTATGAGTACATTTACACACTTTAGTACTCCCTCTACTGTTACATACCTCAGATACTGCTAACGAGTAAATATATACATTATGAGTACATTTACACACTTTAGTACTCCCTCTACTGTTACATACCTCAGATACTGCTAACGAGTAAATATATACATTATGAGTACATGTACACACTTTAGTACTCCCTCTACTGTTACATACCCCAGATACTGCTAACGAGTAAATATACATTATGAGTACAAGTACACACTTTAGTACTCCCTCTACTGTTACATACCCCAGATACTGCTAACGAGTAAATATATACATTATGAGTACATGTACACACTTTAGTACTCCCTCTACTGTTACATACCTCAGATACTGCTAACGAGTAAATATATACATTATGAGTACATGTACACACTTTAGTACTCCCTCTACTGTTACATACCTCAGATACTGCTAACGAGTAAATATATACATTATGAGTACATGTACACACTTTAGTACTCCCTCTACTGTTACATACCTCAGATACTGCTAACGAGTAAATATATACATTATGAGTACATGTACACACTTTAGTACTCCCTCTACTGTTACATGTACTCTGAGGATGAAAGACAATAAAGTGAAACGTGTCTTACAGAGTGTATTCAGAGTACTTTTACTGCAGTTTGATCTTCTACCTGAGTACTTCCTCCCCCTTCAGGCAGTGGATTAGAGTACATATTAATAATGACAGATGGGGGAGCAGAGAAAACTACAGTACTTCAGAGTAGATTTAGGGTCAGATTCACTAAAGCTCTGCCGGAGTGAAAACGTGTGCAAACTTCAGCTGATCCACTGACGGCGTGCAGCAGTGACGTCTGTCAGAAGGTCAAGATAGCACCTGTTGTTCATTTACTACTTTTGCCTTAATGAGTCTGCAGTTTGGGGCGTAACATGCAAATATATTTATTTACTTCACCGACGGGATCTACCTAAAGGCAGTTTCACCTGAGCGCAACAGCCTCTGTGTTTCATACGTTAGACAGGAAGGTGCCAAGTGCTGCTGTTATTGATGCGAGAAGGAGACACGGCCGTGATGGAATATAATATTAGATAATATTATTCTTTATCCAAAATATACAAATACAATTATTTTATTTATTTGATGAACTATATGAATAGAATTTGTTTTTTTGCCCTTCAGCTTTGGCGATACTGTTGTATTAACATTCACGCCAATAAAGCAAAGTTTCCACCTGACGACTTTTCTCCGTGAGATGGAAGACTTTAGAAAGTTGCGTGGCGCTGCGGCGAGCTGCAGTACTGCATCACACATAAAATCCATCCAGCCAGAGGGAAGGATCACCAGCTGTTCACAGGGCGCCGGTCGTCACAGCAACACAACCCGTAGTACACGTCGGAGAGGGAATGGGGCGTTGAGGCGCACGGGGCAGGGACAGGAGGTCACGGAGCGGACGGTCGTTCCCTCTGGCTGGATGAAGCTCGATCTGCTGGCATTTCCTGCCGTCGGGTTCGTTCCAGCGTACTGCATCTGTTTCTGCCGGGGTTTCCCAAAGCAGCTTTTCAGGGGTGCTGTCCCAAATACTTAGTGCAGTCTCAGGCAGGACGGGCAGGTACAGACGATTTCCACTGAACGAAACAAACCAAGGTTTTCACGCTGCTTCCCCTCAAAACCCTCGTTTAAATACCGCCACCTCCGTTGTGTTTGCTCCTGTTGTCATCTACGCAATAATTCTTAGTAAATCACCCATAACGGGAACTAAAAGGACACATGCAATATTTTAGAATACACATGCGATTTAGCACTCTTTATTTTGGATCAGTAAATCGCCCAAAGTGTATTTGTACATGTAGTTACCAGACTCCGATCCTCAGGCCCGGCTCAGACTCCAGGTAGAAGTTGTGTGTGTGGTTCAGTCCCTGGTCCAGAGGTCTCTGCAGGTCGATGAAGTACGGCATCCTCACTGGGGGGGGGGGGTCAGAGGTCACAGAAAGGTCACATGACACATCTAATCTCCTGCTGTCAATCACCCGCTGTCCCTGCCCACTTCCTGTTCTCTCAGATCCCGGCTGACCTTTGACCCCGCTGACGTCACAACACCAACACCTTCGTTTTAAGTTATTACTGCAGTAGGAGCAGTACCATGCCCCTGTAGTAGTAGTACTAGTAGTATTATTCCTCAGTACTGCACAGCAGGAAGTATTAACCAGCAGCAGTCTGACTGACGAAGCTTCATGTTTACTCGTTTCTTTCTGTTCATATTTTCTGACGCAGAACGTGTTCAGGGAAAATCTTTACTGCTAAATCCATGTAGTATAAAGTACTTCCCTCTGAGACGGTTGCTCCAGATGGGTGCGACCTCCGACATAAATAACATTGGTTTGTCCCGATGTAGAAATCCAGTTATATGCTGATGATGCTGTTATTTATGTACGAGCTGCTTCAAAACTGACCAGTGCAATGAACTATATCACAACATGGCTTGACAGATCATGTCTTCCGTTAAATGTTTGTAAAACGTGAGCATTTTCTTTTCGAAGCGAACATGTAGCACTCCAGACCCAGACGTAATAATATTGGGTCAAAATTTGCAAGTTGTGGCTGAATACAAGTATCTGGGTGTCTGAACTGATTCGAATCTCTCTTTTAGAACTCATGTAAAAAGTGTGCAAACGAGTTAGATTTTATTGAGTAACTTTAGCTTTGTTAAAACTGCTATGATATATATGAATGCCATGATTATCCCACATTTTACATATTGTTTGACAAGCAGGGCACAGGCAACCAAATCCACAATGAAGCCACGCCAAAGTCTCTATAAACATACTATCAAAGTTTTAGATTCATAGTTTTCACACCCGTCAAATCTTAAATACCCATGGGCTTCTAAGTTGGAAAACTTGATCGATTATAGTAACCTCTGTCTAGTTCATAAGATATTGCACTGCCCCGCCTCCACTGAAGAGATTTGTTATGCAGGGAGCAGGCGCTCATGTTTCCAGAGGTATCACAAGAGGGGACTGTATCATTCCCACTGGAAGAAGCGCTTTTAGTCCGTCAGCGTTCTCTGTAACAGCCTCTAAACTACTATTGCTGATAAGAGAAGCAAATACTTATCGTTCTTTTACTGGTCAGCTTAAGAAGTGGCTAACTGATAATCAGACGTAACAGACATTAGACTGCAGATGGTCTCTCTCATCTCTCGTTATGTTTTGCCTGGTTGTTTGTTACTTATTGCTGTGTGTTGTACTTGTCTTACTACTATTCTGTATATATTGTTATTACTTGTGGACTGTAATAAGTCATTTTAAATCTTTATTTTTGGTTGCCCTCATAAGAACTGGCCAGGGACAACAGATGAAAATTAGCCTGTTGAGCTAACTCTGGCTCATTTACAGTTATTTTACTGTTGATTAATGAGCGCCGTCCCTGTCAAATAAACACATTCAGTAAACTCTGTTTCCCTCAACAGAATTAAAATTCGTTCGTGATTCAACTGAATTAAATCAAACATTTATTGACCATTTGTTCATTTAAAATGAGGATAATCACCTCATAATAACAATTATAATGTTTTTATTGCCCAGCCCTAAGTACAAGTACCTCAAATTTGTACTTCTAGTACTTAAATAAAAGTACTTATTAGAGGTCGACTGATGCAGGATTTATAATCTCCTCCTCAGAGACTCAAAGTGAAGCACAGACTCTGACTTCTCCAGGTGAATCAGCGCCCCCTGGTGGACACACTGTTTATTTATTATTGATCAGCTGTTAGCTCATGTCAGCTGATCTATGGGGTCCTGGTTCCCCCACACGATCCTCATCCTGTCACCGACCCTGAACAGCAGACTGGGACAGACGCCTCCATGACCCGTCTGAGACGGAGGTCAGGGTTTCCTCTGATCTACTGCTGCTACAGACAGGGGTGTAGTCAGTAACCAGGACCAGGACCAGGATCATGAGGTGGTGAACAACATTTAAACATATCAATAAGAAAATATTACAAACTGAATTAATATCAGTGATTTTGATGCATCATGAAAATACGAGTACTGAAATATTCAAATATATGTGTGAATATTTATGGGGACATTTCACAGTACCTGTACTACAACAGCCGGATACTCTTTAGTAAGGGAGAGTACACAATGGACGTACTGTTGCAGTACATGTACTGTGAGGTCAGACCGGTCGTTAGTGACGGAGGCTCCTCCTCCTTTCTAAACTGACCGGTGTTACGCAGAGTTCTGCACTCTCCTCCTACAGGATTCACTCGGAGTACTCTACACGTACTATGAGCGTTTACTCTTAATATTTACGCGGCGGCGTCTGAGAGGAGCGGACGAGACCTGCTGACGTCTCAGCAGGCTGCAGAAGTCAGCACAACACCGGACACAACGTATATGTGACTCCGCCCACACGGCGAGCGGGCGCCCTGTAGCTGCTGAGCTGCCTGAAGAGAGGAGCCGCTAAGCCCCGCCCTCTCTGAGACAGAGAGGACAGAAGCAGCCGGTAGACACCTGAGACGCCCCCCAACAGGTGCTGACACTCTGACCCGATGATGACCGTGCAGGGTCAGAGGCCTCGTCCTGAAGGGGGACACGAAGGTCCGGTTTCCACTCACCGAAGTTCAGGAAGACGAGTTTGGCCTGGATGGACGGAAACAGCTTGATGATGACGGGGACAGAGATGTAGACGACCAGCAGCCACAGCGCCGTCCTCTTCAGCTTCCCCAGCAGACCCAACCTGAGGACAGAGACCCGGGTCAGTCAGTCCAAGTCCAGGTCTACAGTTCAGCTCTTTATCTGCTCAGCCTGACAGCTTAGAAAATGAAGGTGCAATCTGAGCGCGCTCAGTGCAATCTGAGCGCGCTCAGTGCAATCTGAGCCGCCACAGGAGCCGTTCATCAAGCAGAGAGTCTGCATCCAGCTCTTTAAAGTTTAAAGACCAGGACCTGGACTTTCACCAGCTGCTCTCAGCTCCTAGGGTATCAGGATCATCATGATGGGGGACAGAGTACTCGGATCATGTGTTTAAATACCAGTAATACTACGTAATAATACTCAGCACAAGTACAACTTCTGCATTTAAAACCCTACTGTAAAAGTACATGAGTATTCACAACAATGTGTACTTCAACAAGTATTTCTGCAGGGAGGAATTACTCTGTGACCAGGACCTGAGGGGGACCAGGACCTGAGGGGACCGGGACCTGAGGGGGACCAGGACCTGAGGGGGACCAGGACCTGAGGGGGACCAGGACCCAGAAGCTAATACTAAAACTGTGACTAAACATTTACTTATACTGGACTTAAGTACAAACTAGAAGTACCTGTACTTTACTCGTACTTCTACTCCATCTCAGATATTTTGACTTTACACAGTCAGAGTTTATAAAGTTCAGCTGGTCCTTCAGTGGACGAACAAACACTGAGTTGCCATGACAACATTTCTCGCTGCTTCATTTCCAGTCGATTAAAGGAGGAAAGAATCAGCTGATGGATCCAGAATGTAAATAATCAAACTAAAGAGTTCAACCTCAACAAGCAGAGCAGGAAAATCCTGATTTACATGAACGCATCACAATGATAATAATAATATATGATAGTACTACATTTTGTACTTTTAATACTTCAAGTACATTTTCCTGATTATACCTTTACTGTAGTAACATTGTCAGTGCAGTACTTTTAGTATTTTTACAGTGAGGTGTTAGTACTTGTACTACAGTAAAGGCTCTGAGTACTTCCTGTTGATGTCTCCGTGGAAATGACCAGTAGCAACAACACGTCGTCTCAGTGTGAACAGGACCAGCGGTCCAGAGACCTTTCTGAGCCGCCGCGGACAACAACAGGAGTTCTGTACTGGGCCGGTCCAGGCAGACCGGGACAGACGCCTCCATGACCCGCCTGAGACGGAGCTGTTCACTTCCTGTTCAGTCTCATCAGACCAAAGCACAGACTTCTAAAACTCATCTTTACCTTTCCAGCGTTGACGGGCAAACCTCGGCCCGGCTGTGGGGCGCCATGGAGAGCCCTCGCAGCTGAGACATCGACTCCACAGGAGGCCGGCTCAGCGACTAATTTCCTCTCCAGAGTTCTTGACATCTTGCGCTTAGGACCACGGCCGGTTCCTCCTTATCACGAGCACTATCTTCCGCCCGAGGTCAGGACCGACGTCCTCCGTCTCCGGCACGCTGAGCAGAAGTAGTCTTTCAGTCGCCTCTCCATGATGTGTTCAGGAGCCCTGTTCCTTCTATGCTGACTGAACGCTCAGCTGTTCTTTGGAAGCCGATTGGTTAATTAGGCACCAGCTCATTTTTCACTGACTGATATAAAACCAGCCTAAAATCTGTTTTCTGTTCCAAAACGTACCAAAAGCTTCCGAATGAATTCTGGTGAATGTTTGATTTAATCAATGCTGCAAGCAGGAAGATGTTCCTGAGGGCGAATCATTTTGGTCTTTAAAGCTCCTGAAGGACAGAGCGCCCGTCCTCCAGCTGCACCTGAACGCCTCGCACTGACGTCACATGACAGCAGCGCATGGCGTCCAGGTGAACCATCGGCTAGAGGACAGAGGACATCCGTCTTATCAAGATAACAACAGGTCAGCAGCCGCTGACAGACAAACGTCACGGTCAGCCCTGAGATGCACCTGCAGAGGTCAGGAACCTGACGGGACCTGAACGCAGCATGAAGGACCAGTTCACTTCTGGACGGTGGGACTATGCTGAACCCCAGAGACATCAGGACCGGGACACAGCTGGGAGTCCAGACTCTCAGACCTGATCCTGGCTGAGCAGGAAGCCGAGCAGCTTCAGGGAGATTAAACCTCTGATGTCACGCTGCTAACGGCGAGCTGCAGCCTGAAGGTCACACGGAGGTCAGCCTGCGGGGGGGGGGGAGGGTTCTATCTGCTCCAGTCTCAGGTTCAGACCGCCAACACGGATTACTGCTTAAAGCCCCCCCTCCCCCCGCTCTGTGTAATCAGATGACTGAGCTCCCGGCTCAGCCCTGCAGACGCCACAGACCAGCAGCGTTGGCACACTGCCCCCCCCCCCCCCCCCTCACCGGGGCCTAAACCTCGGGTACTGACAGTTATCCTTCCACCACACGTGTGCAGCAACAGGTAGAACAACAAGCGGAACAAGCAGAACAACAGGTAGAACGACAAGCGGAACGACAGGTAGAACGACAAGCAGAACAACAGGTAGAACGACAAGCGGAACAAGCAGAACAACAGGTAGAACGACAAGCGGAACGACAGGTAGAACAACAAGCGGAACAAGCAGAACAACAGGTAGAACGACAAGCGGAACGACAGGTAGAACAACAAGCGGAACAAGCAGAACAACAGGTAGAACGACAAGCGGAACGACAGGTAGAACGACAAGCGGAACAAGCAGAACAACAGGTAGAACGACAAGCGGAACGACAGGTAGAACGACAAGCGGAACAAGCAGAACAACAGGTAGAACAACAAGCGGAACAAGCAGAACAACAGGTAGAACGACAAGCGGAACGACAGGTAGAACAACAAGCGGAACAAGCAGAACAACAGGTAGAACGACAAGCGGAACGACAGGTAGAACGACAAGCGGAACAAGCAGAACAACAGGTAGAACAACAAGCGGAACGACAGGTAGAACGACAAGCGGAACAACAGGTAGAACGACAAGCAGAACAACAGGTAGAACGACAAGCGGAACGACAGGTAGAACGACAAGCGGAACAAGCAGAACAACAGGTAGAACGACAAGCGGAACGACAGGTAGAACGACAAGCAGAACAACAGGTAGAACGACAAGCGGAACGACAGGTAGAACAACAAGCGGAACAAGCAGAACAACAGGTAGAACGACAAGCGGAACGACAGGTAGAACGACAAGCGGAACAAGCAGAACAACAGGTAGAACAACAAGCGGAACGACAGGTAGAACGACAAGCGGAACAACAGGTAGAACGACAAGCAGAACAACAGGTAGAACGACAAGCGGAACGACAGGTAGAACGACAAGCGGAACAAGCAGAACAACAGGTAGAACGACAAGCGGAACAACAAGCGGAACAACAAGTAGAACAACAGGTAGAACGACAAGCGGAATCGGTGGGCAGAATGACAAGCGGAACAACAAGAAGAACGACAGGTAGAACGACAAGCGGAACGACAGGTAGAACGACAAGCGGAACAAGCAGAACAACAGGTAGAACGACAAGCGGAACAACAAGCGGAACAACAAGTAGAACAACAGGTAGAACGACAAGCGGAATCGGTGGGCAGAATGACAAGCGGAACAACAAGAAGAACGACAGGTAGAACGACAAGCGGAACGACAGGTAGAACAACAAGCGGAACAAGCGGAACAACAGGTAGAATGACAAGCGGAACAAAAGGTAGAACAACAAGCGGAACAACAGGTAGAACAACAGGTAGAACAACAAGCGGAACAACAGGTAGAACAACAGGTAGAACGACAAGCGGAACGACAGGTAGAACAACAAGTAGAACGACAAGCGGAACAACAGGTAGAACAACAAGCGGAACAAGCAGAACAACAGGTAGAACGACAAGCGGAACAAGCAGAACAACAGGTAGAACAACAAGCGGAACGACAGGTAGAACGACAAGCGGAACAACAGGTAGAACGACAAGCAGAACAACAGGTAGAATGACAAGCGGAACGACAGGTAGAACGACAAGCGGAACAAGCAGAACAACAGGTAGAACGACAAGCGGAACGACAGGTAGAACGACAAGCAGAACAACAGGTAGAACGACAAGCGGAACGACAGGTAGAACAACAAGCGGAACAAGCAGAACAACAGGTAGAACGACAAGCGGAACGACAGGTAGAACGACAAGCGGAACGACAGGTAGAACAACAAGCGGAACAAGCAGAACAACAGGTAGAACGACAAGCGGAACGACAGGTAGAACGACAAGCGGAACAAGCAGAACAACAGGTAGAACAACAAGCGGAACGACAGGTAGAACGACAAGCGGAACAACAGGTAGAACGACAAGCAGAACAACAGGTAGAACGACAAGCGGAACGACAGGTAGAACGACAAGCGGAACAAGCAGAACAACAGGTAGAACGACAAGCGGAACAACAAGCGGAACAACAGGTAGAACAACAGGTAGAACGACAAGCGGAATCGGTGGGTAGAATGACAAGCGGAACAACAAGAAGAACGACAAGAAGAACGACAGGTAGAACGACAAGCGGAACGACAGGTAGAACAACAAGCGGAACAAGCGGAACAACAGGTAGAATGACAAGCGGAACAACCGGAACAACAGGTAGAATGACAAGCGGAACAACAGGTAGAACAACAAGCGGAACAACAGGAGAACAACAAGCGGAACAACAGGTAGAACAACAAGCGGAACAACAGGTAGAACGACAAGCGGAACAACCGGAACAACAGGTAGAATGACAAGCGGAACAACAGGTAGAACAACAAGCGGAACAAGCAGAACAACAGGTAGAACGACAAGCAGAACAACAGGTAGAACGACAAGCGGAACAAGCAGAATAACAGGTAGAACGACAAGCGGAACAAGCGAACAACAGGTAGAACGACAAGCGGAACAAGCAGAACAACAGGTAGAACAACAAGCGGAACGACAGGTAGAACGACAAGCAGAACAACAGTAGTAGAACGACAAGCAGAACGACAGGTAGAACGACAAGCGGAACAAGCAGAACAAGAGGTAGAACGACAAGCGGAACAACAGGTAGA